ATCCGAATTACCCCAGCACATTTTGCTTAATGATCCGAATTACCCCAGTTGGGGTAATTCGGATCATTTTTCTAGTGCTCTCGCCATTTTTTTAAAAACTCTATTAAAAACTTAAGTTTTTATTTAGATTTTTACATGGTTCGATAGAAAACACTTCGAGCTATCTGATGATGAAAAAATCTTTTTCGTCCGATGTAAAATCGTTGAGTTATAGTTGAAAAAAGTCGATTTTTTTGAACGCTGATCCGAATTACCCCAATCGACTATATGTATCCATTTGTATAAATGACGAGAAAAAAAGATAGTTATATAGTCGTTCGATGATTCAGTTTCTTATGTATAAAGAATATATATGAAATGAAAGAGCAATTGATAGATAGTATATTATTATATACTTTATCACACCCGTAATATAGACAATGAAAATTATATTGATTAATTCATCTTGAATTAAGTCAATGAGATTGACCCTTAATGTTTATATGTTAAACAAAGACATTCAGAAAAGATATATTAATCATATCAACTCGTCAAATTATTGTTTTTTTATTCATTATATATTATTAAAAAGAAAAAGAAACAAGTGATCTACTTGTTATAGTGTAGAGTATATCTAATTAATTCGTATGCTTAATTCATTGACATACAAAAATTATTTATTTATAGTTCGATTCCTTTGAAAGAATAAAAAAAAAAGACTAGTTCATTAGGATATTTTAATAGCTTAAAATAAAATTAAACATTTAGAACTTTTAATGATCATTTATTTATTTTTTTTTCACAGCGTATCAACGCTGGAATCATGCCAGTGAATATCGGAAATATGCCTGTTCAAATTCAAAAAATATTATGTTTACCCATCTCTTATTTTAAAAACAAAAAAAGCAATGTATTTTACTTTCGAGTAGAACAACTACTCGACCAATGTATATATTTATATAGAAAGTTTTCTGATAATGCCAATATTGAAAATTTTGTTGTATCTATAATGAATATTTATTGCAATATTTGTCATATTATAATAAACATGAAAATATTCACTCATGTCTTTTGCTAGAAGGAAGAAAAATCAGTAAATATTCTTGACTAATTTATTGCTAAATTTGAATTGAATAATTACTTATTTTTTCGTTAATGGTTATCTATGAAATTATAGCCTACAATTTTATTTGTATTACTTTTTTATGTATGATTACGTAAAGATAATTCGACAATAAACTTTAAATACATATATATTAATATTAAAACTATTTTTAGACTTTTTTTTTAATGTCTTTCAAGCTTCATTTTCTGAAAGGACTAGGCAGTATTATGCAAATTAATTAGAAAAATCTCAATATCCTGTTGAGAAATGATGACGCCTTATGATGGTAAAGATTATGCATGTCTTTTGTAAAAGTTTCATAAAAAGTCTAATTATATTTGTTTCAAGTACGAATGTAATAGTTTTTATACTTTAGAATGTGCACATCCTTAACAAAGAAGAAAGAAAAGAAAAATAATTGTAATCCGCATTCACGTACATTAACATGAAGAGTTAAATCATATTGATTCAGACATGTTATTTAAATATTATTTAATTTATTTTATAACTGGAATTGCCTTGATCCGTTTCTATGGTATATTTCGATGTTTGGAACGATTTTAAAGCAGTGAGTCCAACCGCAAACTTACCAGTTTAGCTGGAAATTCATCGGTACAGAGGTGAATTTTAACGGACCGGATATTTTTATCTTTTTTTTCTTACTGGTTCCAACCCTGCAGTGTATTTGCTTTTTTTCTTAATGAAATTATTCCAAATTCACTTCTTGAATGTTCATTTTGGTTAAATAGTTTTTGGTTGGCTTAACCGTTCTAAATTAACGAGTGTTGGTGGATTTATTTTTTTATTGTTGTTGATGGTAGTGGAATTGATCGCTATCGAATATAAGAAAAATATGATCATTCAAATCCTCTTTCTCATCGATGAAATTCTTTTGAATAAGCAATACATAGAACAAATGTATAATTGTTCTTTTTAATATGATAAGAATTATACACTTCAAATACGAAATACATGTGGTTTATGAAAGGTAAAAATGTAATCCAGATATTAGAGATTTAAATGAGAATAGACAAAAACAAGAATATCCTTAACTAGGACATACATTTTCACTTTTTATTTTTAATGAAAAATTTTTTATTAAAAAAAAAGAAAAAAAAAATTTAAATGATATTATTTGTTCATTTAAAATTAATTACATATTCAAGATGAAATGTCCTTGTAAAATTTAATGTTGTTTTATCTGTAATAAGGATAAAAAATGACATCAACTTATTTTCAAGATTATTCATTAAATCTTCACTTGAAAAATTTTACTTAAAGATTCCAAATTAACAAATGAAAAAATAAAGTTGTTTTATTTATTTATTGAACAATATTCAAGAATAAAATATTTGTTTATTATTTTATAAGAAGTTATACAAATAAGAAAAGATTTATTTTTGTATAATAATTCTTTAAAATAAAATATTTTTATAATAAATAATCTAAAATAAAAATTAGTCAATAGTCAAAGAATAAGAAAAAAAAGAATAACTAGTTGAATTATTTGAAAATATAGACTAATTTTTTCATTAAAGAATAACAAAGCTCATCAACAATGATCACAATGTGTAAGTCTCAACATTCTTTTCGTCTTCTACATGTGCAATAGTTCTTGAACGATCATATTGATAATGGTGTCGATAGCCACAGATAATTATATGCATACAAACAAAGAGATACGTGTTTCCAGAGAGAATTATTTGCTAAGGATAGATCTCTTCAAAGTTGAACATAGATTTCTATCATTATATATTATCTAACTAGTTAATAATTAATTAATTAATTAATTAATTAAGTATCCAATGATCAAATACTAATTAGTCTCAACTATTTAAATCATTGTTGATAAGTGTGACGATAATTAGTGAAGTACTGATTAATGAGAAATAGGAAGTTCGCCATAATGATTTTTGTAGTTGACTTTCAGTAGCATTTTTTTATTAATTAAAATACAATTAATATACTGGTGACATGATTAACACACACATACAGTATTTGATGAGGATAAGGGTAGTGTCTGAAATGAAGAAATACCTTTTCGAACATTGTTGGGAATCTATAGCAAAAGTCATTACGACGAAAATTCATGTTATCTTTAATACTACAAAAATATATAGAAAGTTCTTCGATACTATCCTCAAGATACTTATCAAGCAACAAACAAAAAGACAGCTATCAATATATACCTCGCATTATATAAAAACTGAAAATAATATGAACCTTGATAGAATATTGGAAGATAGTTCTAAATATAATATGTTAAAATTCAGAGCGAATCATTGTTGATACCATGTCAATATGAATATCAAAAAGCTATCAATAGTATTCATAGATTGGAAACAAATAATTATATATGATATGTAAAAGAAGAATTGTAGAGATGCAGGTATAACAACTACAAGGGAAGGGTTCATCATTTTTAAAACATTTAGACTTGAATTCGGATCCATTTATTCTAGGTTTTTTTTTTTGAAAATTAGTTTCAAATTCAGGACTAATTCATTCAACTTTCTGGTATTCGGATGCAGATTTCAATTTTTAATACTTTCACAAAAACTTTTTATCACAAATTTAATATATACTCAATGTCAAAACATATTTTTTCTTCATTTTTTATACTCGACGACAACTATATTCATGAAATTTTCTACATGAGAACATGATTGATCCAGAACTATTGAATCTGAATTGTCACAGAATAGATTCTATACGTAAGTCTTAAAAAGTTAACAGTATCCAATCTAAGTATGACTAAATAGATAAAGGTACCATAGCTACGTAGTCTGAGAATACATCCAACTAACTCGTTATCAAACATAGAGTGATAGAGAATTATCAATTGACAATAGAATTTTATGAAAACAAAAGAAACTTTTGTTCTTACTTATTTAATAAATTCTGTATGATAACAAAATAGTAATAATATATATCTATATAGATATATATATAGACATTCAATATTCAATGATCAGTACATATGAAGTAAAGGTAACACTTATAATGAATGAGAAAACATCCTATATTTGTTTCTTTTTTTTTTGTTTTTCAAAAAAATAAACCACTTTAAAAAAAAAAAGATCTTTATTCGATTAATACGACAGACTGTGAAAAAAAAACTTTTTGCTCTCTTAGAATATTCTCATCTTTCAATTCAATGTATGGAGAGAAAAAAAAAATAGTCAAAAACACCATACAATAGATATCTATTAAAGATAATGACGTCACCATTCGTGCCTTCACTTAGTACAATATAAATCAACTTAACACAATATAGAAAGATTCTTCATATCAACATATGTTCACAATATCACTTTTAGGAAAGATGTAATTTAACTCTTATTTATCATAATTTCGGTTATATTTGTTGATTTGCCATGTTTTAGATGAGATTAACAATATTTTAAATATATCGTTTCTACTTTTTCCGACTAGAAAATGAATTTAAAATTGGTGATATAGGATAATCGTTTCAATTGTCTTAGTTTAAAATATTATTCGATAATAGCTCACCTAGTGTTATGCATTATTGAATTTCAAAAAAATATGTTGTATCTAACATATTGATACCTTTTCTTCTGATATGACGCAAATGTGAATTTATCAATATAAGACGCTTTTGAGTTTTGTTAAATTTTTTTCAGTTGAGCTGAAGTGTTTATAGAAAATAGTTTGTCATTTTTCTGTTTTGATAGTATATTGCTGAGGATTAAAAGAATTTTGGGTGTGGATATGGGATGTGAGTGTTATGGAAGAACGGAACAACAACCACACACACATCCTCAAGGCGACTAACCGTGCAACTTTCTCAGGAATTTTGTGCCACCAAGTTCTATAAGTAAATTAATTTATTATCCTCTGAATTATTGTATATCATGATCAAATCGGTCAATCAATGCCTAAAAACGGCAAATTTGTTGATTCCTTAGAACAGAGAAGTACATGAGTTTTGTGAGAAATATTTTTTGAGTGAAAAAGTTTCTATGTATTAATAGTAAGTTAATCATGCCCTATCACTGAGTGTTAGCTCTAATATGTATAGAACGAAAGAGACAAGCAGTGTCACTAATGTTATGTGACAGTACGATGAAAAAGATGACCTTCATGGGAATCGAACCCATACCTTCTGCTATCCGGGCAGATGTCCTAAGCCAATTAGACTAGAAGGCACATCTTAATCATCGTTTAGCGTCCAAGTGATTCATCATGGACGCTAACACCTTTCCCTTTGCACAGTTCTTTTTTTTTTTTGCTTTTCTGTGCATTCGCACAGAGGAGAACGTACGAACATGTGCTGGTGTTACTGCTTGCCCGACTTCTCCACCATTGTTAGCTCTAATATGTATAGAACGAAAGAGACAAGCAGTGTCACTGATGTTATGTGACAGAACGATGAAAAAGATGACCTTCATGGGAATCGAACCCATATCTTCTGCTATCCGGGCAGATGTCCTAAGCCAATTAGACTAGAAGGCACATCTTAATCATCGTTTAGCGTCCAAGTGATTCATCATGGACGCTAACACTGGGCATATATGGATCTTTCGACAATGGCAAAAAGAATTTTTCGCTTTCGGAACTCTGAAGAGTGGTACGGGAATATACAAAATTTTTAATTCTCATAAGAGACCGAACATATATTGAACTTAATAGAACTCCATACACTAATCACACCCAGTTACTCAGAACCTAAATTCTTAGGGAGCAATATAAAATAAAAATCAATCTTCCATTCTCGTACGTCCCTCCAAGGTTCTGACAGCAAAAAACTTTTTTGCCATTTTCGGAAGATCCATATATGTCAAATGATAGGACATAGTGAAATTATTGTTTATAGATAGAAATTTTTCCACTCAAAAAGTATTTATCGAAAAGCTCATATATTTTTCTGTTCATAGGAATTGACAAATTGGTTTTTTTAGGCATAGATTGACCGATGTGATCATGACGCATAAGAGTTCAGAGGAAAATCAATTGATTTAACTGTAGAGATTGGTGACACAATTTCCGAGAAAGTTACATGGTTAGTCGCCTTTACCCTTAGAATCAGTATCGAACAATTTAAAACATCATAAAAACCATAAATTACAGAAGCCAGGGAAAATGCTAAAGTTTTGGATAAGAAGCAAGCTATTGTAAGTATTATTAGATATACACGATTGAAGACGAGACAAAACTCTATTGAAGTAACTTTAAACAAAAATCTGATATAGGTTGGTTTGGAGACATGCTGACTCCTCATATTTGGTCACATCAACTACAATTGCTATAATATCTCTTAAGTGATGTATGACTTCTCAGAACATAAAAACTTAATGAAAAAGCAATTTCGTATATACCATTTGATGCGCCACGAGTTGTTCTACAAAATGGTATCGGTGACTTTTCAAATGAAGGGTGATTATCTCATCCGACAGGGTCCTCGTTTTTTTCACTTTAGAATATTTTTTTTTTCAATATATACAATATTGTTTTCTAGATTGTTGATCAAACTGATTGATTTCAATCAATTGATGAAATAATTGAAAAATTTGGTATGCTTTATGCTAGTTATCAAATAGAAATGGGTTTTTTTTCGAAATTGTTTTCTTTTCATCGATTCTCTATATTGAGGATGTTCTTATGATTATTAAAAATTCTAATTAAGAATTAAATGATGTACAACAACAATTATTATTAACAATTGAAGTAAAATATTTCGAAATAATTTCATTAAAATTCAATTGAAATTCTAGAAAAAAAAATACCTTCAATGAATAATCGTATACGAGAATTACAACAAAATCTTATTGAAATTGAACAACATATTGATAAAATTCAAACTAAAATTAATAATTATCAACAAATATCAATAGAACATTTAACAGAAATCGGTACAATTAAAATGTAAGAGAATCGATATAAAATAGATTTTTTTTTTTGTACTTCGAAATATTAATATTTTAGTGCTATTGAATCAATGTTTGATTTAGTAAAAAGATATAGTCATCGTTGTAGAAAAAAAAAAGATTTAAATCTTGATAAATATACACAAATGAATGATAATCAATGTTTATTTATTAAATTAAAATAAGTAGGTCAATATTTAAAATTTATTTATTATAAATACGACAAAAATAAAACGCAAAAATTCTATAGATTGATACATTTCTTAGTGATCTAATTTATAATGTCGATTTTGTTAATAATAAACAAAATAAAATTATATCATATAGACATTCAATTACTAATGATAATCTACAAATTAAACCAAAAATTAGTTTAAATAAAATCATAGATAATATTAATGATAATAATCAATGACGTGGTTCATATCAAATAGATCGACAACAAACATTGATTACAACAATTGATAAACATCTACAACAATCATATATTTAATATAAAATAAATATTTCTTATACAAGATGTCATAAAAATCTAATTGCAAAAAGAAATGTAGCAGTTCAGATGATTTACATTTCTTTTCACAATTTAATCTTATATTTATTAAAGTATATTGCAGATAAAATATATCTGCATCTATAAAAGTCAGAGTTCGAATAGTTTTACTCATGATCAAATTCGAATAAGCCATCATTGTAAAACTATAAATTGAATATGGAAAAAACACCACCCATTGAGCGTTGCATTAACATCACATTCCAACAATTTTGTAAAACAAGTAGAGCCTATCGGATCCAAAATTTTCGGACTTAGACCCGGCGGACTCTAGAAACGAATACTGTCGAAAATCGATGAAGTTAATGACGCTTGTAAAAATTAGCCAGGATTAAGTGTTCGATTTATATAATTCTTCTTCATCGAACTGTTGAACAAAGTGTACCTTGTACAGCTTTAAAGAGAGATATTTCGTGATAAATCGATGGATCAGTGTGCGCGATATTGAACAGGGTGTGGGTGGGTGTGGGTGTGGGTGGGTGTGGGTGTGGGTGTGG